TTTATAGATATTTTACAAATCACTCCCCTTTTAAAACAAACCGTTTGAGACCCACTAAGATAACTAGACTAAAGTTAACTATCTAAACACTGAGAGTCCTTTACTTCTCCTGAGCTGAGGTTATCTGAGACTCGCAGTCTGACAGGAGAGAGTTCTCCCTCCACCTTGTTGTTGAAAAAGCTCCTTATATCCGTTAGCTTGGCTAGCTAGCACCAGATGCTAACCACAACGATCTCCGATAGATACCCACCGGTGCGCGAGCTCTCTCTCGCTCGCTTGCGCGCGCACACAAAATGGCTCGTGCCACACACACACACACACACACACACACACACACACACACACACACACACACACAGAGCTTGAATGAAACACAGAGCAGAGCTTGAATGAAACACAGAGACCCAGAAGTAAGCTACTTGTACTCACGAGGCCTATTATGTGCAAAATACCTCTCGCTTTCAGTTGGTTTTGATTGAGTGTCCACACATGGACGTTTAAGTACTAAAAAATGATCCATTTGTCATTTTGCTGTTAGCAAATAATTTGGGGCTCCAGCTAACAGGAAGTCACTCAAGTGTCACAAAGTAATTTAGCCTATGGGTAGGTCAAAAATCTAATGGGTGCTGGCCATTGGCCTAATCATATCACCTGTGTTGGCTTTATGTTTTTGGTCAAACATTTGTTTGTTTCACATTTGCATTGATGTAATCAATAATTTTCCTAATAAAATAATAATAATTTCGGAAAAACTTATATTTCTTGGGGGTGCTTTGGCAATCCTGGGGGGTGCTTCAGCACCCCCTAGCTCCCCCCTGGCGCCGCCCCTGCTTGGTACTGATGTTGCTGGGACAGCAGTGGTCGCGTTAACTGAATATCTTTTTTAACAATGAGGGAAAAATCTGAAAGCAGTCTGTCATTTTGACAGATTAGAACAAACTCGGAACAGCGCCAACGTTTCCCCGCAGCGAGGCTCTGGTGTTATGCATGCCCTCCAAAAGGAAATTATATAGTTTCCAAACCGTACTTTGCCATACAGATCATTGAAATGTCTGGGAGTTTTTCCTTTACACTGTGCGCGCTCCCGCGAGGTGCATGCATATCTCGGTGAGCATGCATAACACGGCATAACATGGCATAACACCGCCCTCCCCCCAGCGCGACACGTCAGTGGCGAGTTCAGACCCGACGGGTAATAATGGATTATGACGGATATTTTACGATCCTGTCTGTCAAAATGACGGACAGCGAAAAAGTCTAACGTCACCTCAGTGGGGCAGAGAGATATGCTTTGGCCATGACAGCAGTGGGTCAAACTGTGCATTGTCTCTCCACCACTTCAAAAACAATACAGTTTTTGCCAAGAAGGTGAGGCTTATTGACAGGGCGAGATATAAATATATTGTTGGTACTTGTCAATGTAGCCCTGTAAATACGATGTCCTTTTGTGTTATCTGTTGTTTTATGTTCATGTTGTAATCTACTTGCTGCCATGTTGGACAGGTCTCTCTTGAAAAAGAGATCGATTATCTCAATTATTTATTTTTTTAATCGCGGTAGATTTTGTCAGTCTCACGATGGTATTGGGACGTTTATTTATCGCGATATTCGGTATATCGTTACATCCCTACAACATCCAAATATGAAACTTGAAAATGAGCATAATATGGCTCCTTAAGTTAAAGGTAAACGCCACATAAATATAAATCATGCATAGAATGTGCTGGTAACTAACTGCATGCATACCCTTTGTATTGGAAGGACTTTAGTTCTGAATAATGCAACTTTGTTTTTTTTTTCACTCATATTTCGTGCTTTGTTGTTTACTCTTCAGGATGAGAGTAATGCCCTGTCAATCGCTCTGGAAGCAGGACACAAGGACATTGCAGTACTGCTGTATGCACATGTCAACTTCTCCAAAGCCCAGTCCCCTGTAAGTCATCTTCACGCACTCACTCTTTTTAAGATGCAATGAGTAGGGTTCTTTACTGAAAATATCATTTTTTTTCACTTTTAATCACAGAAAATGACCCACTGCAAGTGCACGGTGGTGTCTGTGCATTTTCTTCTTTTGCTATGTCCTGGATGTTTCTGGGGCTTAGCCTATAACAAAGCATCCAACAGAAAGCTACATAAACAGCAGAAAAAAGTTCTACTTATTTTGGCCTTTACAACCTCTGTTCTTGTAATTTAGTGTGTGTTTACATGTCAGCTGTCACATTAACCTTTTGCACCTGTTGTGTTCCAGGGCACCCCTAGACTTGGCAGAAAGACCTCACCCAGTCCCACTCGGAGGAGCATGTTCGAATAAGTGCCCCGCCTCTCAGAACAAACCCTGCGCTGCTATTGGCTCACGCTGCCTTACCCACAGCTGACGAGGGACACAATCCCAAGCACCAACCAATTAGATGTCTGGAAATATTTGTTATTTATGTGCACACTAAGTAGCCCAAAGTGCCCTTTGAATATGAATGTAACCAGCTGGTGCCTCAAGTCCCATCTGGATCCGCCTGTAATAATCAGCTTTCCAACACGGACGCAGATTCAACCACTAATTGCCAATTTTTATGTACTTTATATTTTTCGCAATTCGACAACTTTATTTTTATTTTTAAAGCTCTATGTTGATCATTCAAGAGCACCAAACATTTGTGATTTTTTTTTTTTTTTTTTGCATTAGAGTAAACCGAAAAATCCAACCACATGTTAGAGGAAATATTTCCTGTGTATATATCGCTCACCTCGACATCCCGGCATCAGACATGTGCGCTCGGCTCTCTGCAGTGTGTGTACAACTCGTGTGGATCAATGCATCGATGAATAGACGCGTCCTAGACTGGAGAAATTGTACTTTTATACAAATCCTTTGTATCTATTTAAAAAGAAGAATCACAGTATTTTGAATATTTCCTATTACTGCTTAACGACCCATGAAGTTATATATTTATCAAAGTATAGTTTTTAATGCAGATATATGTATTTCATTGTACATACAGTGGTTATTAGAGTTTAGTTATTACTCCTTTTTTGTCCACTTTCTTTCCGTCTGTCTCATGTAATATAAGCTGTCTGTCCTCTAGTATTCATCAAGGTACTGACTTTCATCCTTCAATGAGAAAGTGCCTGAGACTACGCAATATAACAATAAACATCCATTAAAGAATATAAATCTGTATTTTCATTGATTACCCACACATCTTACATCTTATTTAATTTAAGAAAAATTAAGCTGCAGGGAGGATCATGTTTCCTTTGCCTTTTTAACATTTTTTTTTTAATATTACAGATCACAAATGTCTAACGAATATAAAACATAACATTTTACAATTGTAAAAAAAGACGATTCCCAAAATACAAATGTAAACTATTAGAAGAACATAATCATTCCAAATAACATAAATCAAAGCTGAATGACCTGAAACAACAACAATTGATTTGCACATTCAGAAGACAAAAATAACATCTACAACTTTGTATAACATTCATACAGTACATAGGCCTACTACATTTTTATAAAATCCTGAGAGATAACTGTTAGCACAGAAAAGTTAAGATTTGTTTTCATAAATCCCACAACTTATACTAGTTTGAACCAGTGGCGTAGCCAGGAATTATTGTGTGGGTGGGCCTGGAGAAATGTAGGTGGGCCAGGGGGAGACTTATTAAGCGTGGGGTCTGAGCTGAAACTTCATTAATGATTTTAATGATTTTTTAATGCACTAATTGAACATAAGCATAAACTAGCAGTGAAAAAAAAAACATAGACACGGCGGCCTCAGAATGTGTGTAAAACTGACATCCACATGACTAGGGATGGGTATTGTTAAGGTTTTAACGGTAGGCCTACTACTACTTTTATCGATAGGCCTACCACTTATCGATCCGGTGCTTTAACGGTACTTTAATCGGGTTTTTTGGAGAGAAAAAGAAGGTAAACTAACTAAACAAATTGTGAACAAAACTAACATTGCTTTTTATTTGAATTAAATACATATTTCACATCAAAAAAACAATGTTTTAACAAATCGCATTAAATAATGTGATGACAGAACTGTAAACAGAATAGCTGAAACTTTAACAAAATAAACAACTCTGTTGCCTCTAATCATTAATCCATGTTTGTATCATTTAGTTAACTCCTTGTATTGCTGCTAGCATACATAATACCTGACGTGGAAATGTTACTCGTGGATGGGGCTACAGCGCTACTAGAAAGACAGTCGAAACCGGTGCATTCCTCCGTCTGAATGTGGTGCACTTTTGCTAAATGTTTCGACATATTGCTCGTGTTACCGCCCTTACATGCTAAACTCTTATGGCACTTTTGGTAACGAGCATTGTTCACATCGAGACGGGTAAAGTTTAACCACACGAGCGTGTTCTCTCTGACATCTCCTCCGTGTGTGAGTGTATGTGTTGCTGCATGTAGCAGCTGCGTGTGTGTAAACTGCCCCGCCCCCTCGCACACAGACATGGATTGGAAAGATCTAAAATACTAAAAACAATCAGATAATAGACGCATTTTGCTCCTTTCTGCATCCATCCCCTGTTGGCCACTAGAGGAACTGCTTTTTGTGGCACTTCCTTCTGGGCTTTCCGGCTCTGCGCTATTATAACGCGCTGATTGGCTGGGCCAGACGTGCATGTGGGCCCACCCACAGCTACGCCACTGGTTTGAACATTTTGCAGATTCTAAAATGTAGGCTAATGCGAAATATCCTCATCAGCAAAAAGACAAAGCTGTATTATATTAATTTAGGAGGATTCACAAGCTAGCCATCAGTGCATCCACACATGTTGGCAAAAATATGTAAAGTTTACACTGTTTGAAAAAAAAAAGCTTCAAAGTCTGAAAGTCACTTCAGTCACTTCTCTTCGGTGATACTAATCTTGTCCCAGCTCAGCGTGTTCCCTCCCACATGTTACAGCGGGGCGGTTGGATAGAGGCTCCATCCTCCTGGCACCAGTGGCTCCAGTGCACATCTTTAACCATCGAGTCTGGGGCATACTCAAACATAGTAGCTAAAGTTGGACTGTTTTTGACCAGATTGAGCAGTTGGCACTTGATCCGGCAGCCATGAGCAGCAAGCAGGTGCAGCAATGCCCGGGATCTATGTCTCCATCCAAGCGCCAGAAACCCCCGAGGATGCCCAAGTGCTCCCGCTGCAGAAACCACGGCTATGTGTCTCCTCTGAAGGGACACAAACGGTTCTGCAACTGGAGGGACTGCCAATGTCCAAAATGTAAGCTTATAGCAGAGAGGCAGAGAGTAATGGCGGCCCAGGTAATTTTAAAACTTTCTTCATGTTAAGCCTATCCGGCTAATGTTAGCTTAATTCGAAAAGGATATATTTTAAACCTAGATGTTTGGCGTGAAACAAATAGTGTCTGGGTTGTGATGTTGCGTTAACCGCTAAGTAACATATTTTAAAATGATGTTTGTATACTTTTTAACTAATGTGTCTAAGTTTACTTAAGTTGTTTCCCCTCATTTACATTTTACATAGCATACCTAAAATGTCCACCTTGCATATTTTCACACGTGTTGCATACAGCAGACCGTTATAGATAGATAATATGAATACAGATACATTTGCCATAATATGTGGTGGAATAGCCTACTTTGTAACTTTCTAGCTTGAACTAACAATTTAATTATATTTTGAGATTAAGTAACACTTATTATACATTTTAAAACTATGGAATATGGCAAATTTGAGGAACTTGAGTATTTGCTTTCCATTGCCTGTAACTTTTATATTTCTACTCTCCTGCAATTCAGAGGCCCAAATTGTACTTTTTACTCTATTTCGTTTATCTGACAGTTTGAAATACTCGATTTAAATACAGATTGGAAAAGTGCAATATTTGATTATGTATGAATGCAATAGGGAAAGTCCAATTTGATTATGTATGTGCAATAGGGAAAGTGCTGTACCTGTATGTTTCTTGTTTGTTTCTTTGCCATGTGATATGTGATCTCTGTTCTGTATCTATGACTGATTGACCTGAATGTTTTATGTGTATTATCTCGATGCCCAAGACAAATTTCTCCTAAGGGAGACAATAAAGCTCTATCTTATCTTATTGGCAATAAACATTTACCAGCTGAACACATTCAATCATAAATAATTCAATCTAATAATATAACAAACAATTTTCAAATGAGTTGTGCAGAGACGTAAATATACTTTTCCTGATTTAGGTCAATTCAATTTTAGAAAGTCAAATCAATGTGTAATCATTTACTAATTACTTAACTATTTGTGTATGTTACCTTTACATTATCAAGCTGTAGAGTCTACAGTGTGTAGACTGTACTACAAAGTTAGTAGATAAGCATAATGTTTGGTTTTTATTTTCTCCTCCCACCCTCAAGGTCGCCCTGAGACGGCAGCAGGCTCAAGAAGAGGAGCTTGGGATTTGTGGTCCGGTATCTCTGAGCGGTCCCGATGTGATGGTTAAGAATGAGGCTGGGGCAGACTGCTTATTCTCCCTGGAGGGGCGAGCCCTGACACCCACCAGCACCTCCGCTTCTTCTCTTGCCGTCACAGGTGATTGTATCCACAACCGACATCTGTCCCGTATCTCGCATGTCACACTTTTAATGTAGTAATACTGATTATACTGCTGTACAGGCACTTTGTTAGAAAAAGTGGTGAGGAAACTTTTTTCAGATAAAAAAAAACACTACTGCATTACGCACCCCCCGCAAACATACATTACTTTTTTGGACAACTAGGGCAAGTAACTAAGCTATGATTAACAGGAACAACAATTGCTTTACTATTCTCTATTAAATTGTTACTAATATTAAACGTGTCCATATTGCTCCACTTGCAGAAATACACCCAAAAAGTGTGAACAGTCCTCGAGGTTGAACATGTTCTCTTGTGCAAAATAAGTTTACAATTCTTTGTGCACACTATTTTCAGAATATTATTAACAAATTATCTTCTCTTTCAATATTTTTTATTTTATTTTCAGAAGTTACAAGGTGAGACGATAAAACATTAAGGACAACACAACAAAACGTGATAAAACACTAAAACAAACAAACCGCAGCAGTAGTAACCTAGTACTCTCTCATGTGTGAGTACTTACTTATTATGTTATATTTAAGCCCACAGCTATAACACTTGACCATTCGGTGCATGTACGGTGCAATTGGGGACCAGTCCCTAACAAACTCATCCAGAGTTCCTCGCAGCACCATCCATTTTGGAAACCAAAACAAAAGATTAGGCATATTAACAAATTACCTTAATGCAAAGAGGTGGGGACAAAATTGGCAATTTCTGAAAGTGGTGGAGACATGTCCCCAGTATAAATTCATTTTGTCCAAACAAAAGCTCTGGGAATTATTGAAAAATATTTGCTGGAATTCACATTAGAAATGTAGCATATAAAACACAGCTTCAGTTATAAAGCGCTGTTTTGCAGTTGAGTTAATAGATAAATAAATGAATGATTTATGCGTGCAATCTCTCAAAATGTACTTTACTGAATAAAACATTTTGCCAATCACCGATATCAAATTTAGATTTACAATTTCTTAAGTCAAACTTGATCTCAACCCTTTATCATTTCAAATATGAATGTTTTTCCGATAATTGATAAAAGACAGTTGGCTTAACCTGCTCTGAAAATGAAGCAGATATCATCAGGCCGTTGCCAAAACTGCCGAAAACGTGTCCAAATTGCAGAACAACTGGTCCGACTAAAGTCAGTCCATCTTAATAGAAAATACAAATGTCTTCTGTAAAATCTTTAGAAGTGTTGAAAGATAACGTTCACTTCACAAGATTGTTTTTATCAGTTGGCTTTCTAAAGATGGGGATATCATATTATGTTATTTTTAAAGCTTCCTGTGAAGAAATTGACATATTGAGAAGTAGGGGTGCAACAACTAATCGACTTAATCGATTAAAATCGATTACCAAATTAGTTGGCAACTCACACAACGACCGATCGTATGTATTGTGGACTTTGCACCTTTGCAATGAGCCACCTGGCCCCAATGCTCGGACAGATCTTCTGTCAGCTTGGACCACGTAAGGAAGGCAGACTTACACCACGTGCAAAACGATTTACAAATCTGTGTTTAACGAGCCAATCAATTGGCGGGGAATATACTTTTGCACAATAACGTGAAAACCCATTTGCTCGTAACAGGTTAGCTCTGCCGATTTCAAATTCGGTGTGAGAGTTTCCTCGCGCAAGGAGACGGCGGTAGGGACGCACACACACATTTGACGGCGGGGAGCGTTCGTCCGCCCCCTCTCTAGAGAGCAGACTTAACCCTTCTAGCTTTTATGTAATATCTGACGTAAAAACATCAGTATAACGTTATAATCTTTGCCTCAACCGCTGTGATTCTGACGCTATATTACAAATACATCCGTTATATGTATACTGTATACAAAATTTACAGAGGGACATGGGTATTTATTTCTCCGCCTATTGAAAACCCTCAAATTGTCCCACCATCTTGTTTTTGGTACACTACTGCAGTGGTTGCTTAGCT